AGTGCTTAAATCCTAGCCAAATGCTCTTGTAAGAGCTTGGGTCCTTCTTATCTCTTTCAACATACACACCTTACAATAGAAAGAGCAATAACCAAAATAAAGCATGCTCCAAAATATACAGAAAAGAACATAAAATTGGGCGTGGTAGAAAGACATATGGAGACCAAATCCAGTTTGGTCACCTCTCATAAGACTCCAATATTGAGTTGAAAACACAGCTACCACACAGACACTGTGATCAGTGTCTGTAATTGCAGCACTTGGGAAGCTGAGACATGAAAATCACAAGTTTAAAGCCTGTCTGTACTACATTGGTGAGTTCAAGGCCAGCCTGAGCTACATAGCAAGATCCTGTCTCAAACCAACAACTGTCAAAAGGAAAGAAATAAAGAAAAGAACAGTTGTTGAGTTAGAGATTCAAAAATATATAAATTATCACAAAGCTCCTTTGGTTGCTCTTTGTAGTTAAGTTACTGCTCCTGGTTCAGATATAACTGAAACATTTTATGAACAAATGAAAAAAAGTTTTTGACAGTAGATGAACTGGCCTCTCATGGTACAGAACCCAATCATACTTTCTACAAATGTTCCTTCTCATTTTTAGGGATGTGCACTTGAAGACAATAGAGTTTCAAATCTACTAACTGGATTAATAAAGATATTAATAAAACTGAATAAAATATAAAATTAAATATTGCTATTTTCTCCAAATACAAAGTGCATTTTTGCTTAGTTATATTCATATTCAAATAACATACAGATATAAAATTTAATATATTCTACTCTATCAGTCCATAAACTACAAGCAAAGAAAATTACAAGATTATTAACCAACTAGATGTACTATATGCAAGTCTGATGATACACAGTTCTGATGAAGAGGGATGTGGTTTTTCTTGCCTCGGATATTGCAGATCTAGGGATGGTATTAAACACAAACATACAAATACACACACACATACACACAGTTTTTCCTCTATACGTATGTATGATAAACTTTCATTTTTGTTTGTCTTTGTTACATCCAAATTTTCAGAATTACTAATCTTGTGCCTCGGGCCATTTTTAAGAAAAAAAAGCAGTTGTTTGCCCACATGCACTGCAGCAGTTGAGATGACAACTGAAATAGTTACCGACTCTTGGGTGAATCCGTGTGTGGTTGGGATGCATGAACAAAGGGATGAATCACTGTGGGAGGGCACAAGAACTTAATACACTACTGAGAATAGTGTGGAACCATAGTGGAAGCTTTTGTGTTCTTTCAATTTCCTAAAAATGTACAAAGGTTCCTGAAATGTTTTAAATTACTAAAATGAAAAATGAAAAAAATTTAAAAAAATAATAAATAAAAAATAAATTACTGAAATGGAAGTGATAATTTAAGACATGTGCCTGCCAAATGATTATCTTTGTCATTGGCCATAAAAAAGATGCTAAAATGCTGGTCTGCTATAAATTGAAACTTTGTTAATGTGGAAAAGGAAATGCATTTAATTTGGAAAATTTGGAAAATTAGGAATGAGAATAGACAATATTCAAAGAGATATTTATATGCTGTTTCTCCCAAAGAGCTTCATGATTTTGGAAGAAATGATAAAACACCATGACCAAACTTCACTTGGGAGGAAAGGATTCATTTCATCTTACAGTTGTAGTCTATTGTGCAGGGAAGTCAGCACAGAAACTGGAGTAGAAACCATGGAGGAATGCTGCTCACTGGCTTATTTTCCAGTTCTTGTTCAGCCCGCTTTCTTATATAACCAAGGACCACCTGCCCAGCAGTAGACTACCCACAGTGGTCTGGGCCCTCACACATCAATCATTAATCAAGAAAATACTCCAAAGACTTGCCTTAAGGTCAGTCTTACAGAAGTATTTTCTCAATTGATGATCCTGGCTTGTGTCAAGTTGTCAAAAAACTAATCAGCACAGACATTATGTGTAGGTTGTGAAACAACTCTCATACAAGAAAGAAAAATAGAGAGAGCTGTATTTGAAGATAAAATAGCTTCAGAACATACATAAGCACATACAAAGTCATCAGAAAAAGCACCAGAGTGAAGTAGGACTCTCGTTTCTTTTTAATAATCTCTCTGAAGCTGTGTTTTTGCTTTCCACAATTTCAGTTTCCTGTTGTCAATCATGGTCCAGACTTATTAAATGAAAAATTCCAGAAATTGACAATTCATGAATCATAAATTGCAAGCTGTTCTCAGTAGCGTATAAAGTTCTTGTGCCCTCCTACAGTGATTCATCCCTTTGGTAGTGCACCCCAACCACACACGATTCACGAATGAGTCGGTAACTATTTCAGTCACTGTCTCAACTGCTGCAGTGCATGTGGACAAATAACTGGATGTTTTTTACTTAAAAATGGCCCCAAGGCACAAGATTAGTAATTCTGGAAATTTGGATGTAACAAAGATAAACAAAACTGAAAGTTTATCATAATCATACATATAGGGAGGAAAAAACTGTGTGTGTGCGTGTGTGTGTGTGTGTGTGTGTGTTTCAGGAGATCTGACAGTTTTTCTGACCTCTTTGGACTCCTGCATACATGTGGTGCATATATATGCACTCAGGCATACATGCATACACAGAAAAAGAAAATAAATATTTTTAAAATATTATTGTACTACAGGAACAAAAGGAACATTTCATTTTATTTTGAATATAGGTGATAGTTGTTTGTTGCTTTGTTTACATTTCCCTTTTAAAACTTACATACATCTATTAGGAAGATACGATAGTATGACTCACAGAATCCAAAAAATTTATTTGCCGACAAAAGACAAAAATGAAAAATAGTCCTATATTTTTGGACATAGCCTGTTTATTACCTTGTTCAATTATTTAGTCTTACTGCTTTGTTACCAGTTGTACAACAGAAGACTAAATTAAAGAATTAAAATGAGCATTGATTTTTCAACTAATAACACTGTGTCTAATTACTTTTTATATATTGTCTTAGGAATTTCATACCACATAGAGTTGTGCTCCAGGTTGTCTTTTTAAAGGCTAAACAGTCTAATAAAATATAATAAAGGGAAAAGATGATAGAGACAAGGGACTGCTTGTATATTGCATAGACAAGTTTTTAAATCAAAACTGGAAGTCAAACAAGTGCCTTTTCTTTTTTAAGTGCTATATACTATGTACAAACTACTCATTTATTAGTTTCTACTTATTTGGAAGGGGTAATCATTGTTAGTTTTGAACACTGGACAACTGCTTTAAGCATGGGGGAAAGACGCTACGGACTGAAGGTTCCCACAAGGAATAATGCGTGACTAACGGGGGCTGGAAGGGGTGCGCCACTAGTGTGCGTGGCTAGCCGTCAAAGTTCAAAATGGCTGCCAAGAAGTCGGACGATTCTGACAAGATGGTTGAGGTATGCGATGAGGTAAACAGCTCTACCCAAACTGGAAGGTTTTCTAAGCCCCTAACGTTTAATGTGTGGGTGATACTATTGGAGAATTTTAAGTAAAACAGTATTTGTTGTAACTAAGAGATCCCTTCAGTTGCGAGGAAGTGATGGGACCTTATTAGGCAGGTCTAGTTCAGTCTTAGTAAGCGGTTGGTTGTGAAGATGTTACCATCACAGCACTAGAACTAAATACCGAGGCACAAGGAGATGTGATGTAATTTTGTGAGGTCACCGTGATAGGACTTGTTCTTAATTAATGGACTAAGGGAAAGAGACATTACTGCCTGGCCGTTTCTAATCTAGGGGTCACGGCAACCATTTTGAAGGCAGAAGATAGTAGAACAGTTGATGCATGTAGAGACAGGATTCTCCCACACCTTTTAAGACAGAGACTGTTAACTGATTTTTTTTAATTGGGGGGGGGGGTCGGGAGAGTAGATGCCAGGGCATGACCGCCATGGTGCTCAAGCCCAGGGGCATTTCGTAGAGGAGGACAGGTCTACAAACTTGTCTCGTGCTCTCTCTTTGCTAGTCCCTATGCCTAACATATTCTGAAAATAAAAATGGAACTGGGCAATCTGGGAAGCAAGAAAGGGCCCAGTTTGGACCTTAGTGGGACGAACTGTTCAGACCGTGAGAAGGATAGATGGAAGAAGGTGCTTATGCAGTCTTGACCAAAGCCCTACACGTAAAGAATAGTGCCTATTTCAGTGGTTCACAACCTTCCTAAGGCTACACCCTTCAATACAATTCCTCATGTTGGGGTAATTATTAAACTTATTAAATTTTAATTGTATATTGTATAATTATTCATATATACATATAATAGATTTAAACATTAAATGTAATATATAAAATGTTGAGATTATTAAATTTTAAATTATTAAGTAGAATTATTAATTAAATCTCCACAGTTATTCATTGCTACTTCAGAATAACTGTAATTTTGCTACAGATTTGAATCATAATGTAAATATCTAATGTGAAGGATATCTAATATGCGACAGCCCACTCCGCCACCCACCGCAAGGGGTCTCGAACTACAGATTGAGAACCTTTTGGTCTCTTGGGTAGGGTTGTCAGATTTAGGAAAAAAAGAATTCAGAATGGCTAGTTAAATTTGAATGTCAGCTAAGCAGCACATAATTGTGTAGTATCAATATGGCCCTTGTAAATGTGGTAATAACGCTTACAAAACTGTATTCATTGTTAATGTGATTCTCAAATGTAAGGGGAGGAGTTAGCCAGGGCCCTGTTCACACTGAGACAGGTGGAGGAAGGGCCTCTGCGGGAATTCCAGGAAATTCAAAGGACAGGCGGTCATTAAGGGGAGTGAGGATGGGGGAGCAGAGCTGGGGACGCCTGCAGCACAGCCGCCCAGCGTTACTAGGGCAACTTCTCTGCATCTCCGTCTCGGCGCCAGCGGCCAACAGGGCTCCGGGTAGCCGCGCCCACGCAGGTGGGGGCATGAGGCTGGGAGCCCGCCCAGGCCGGCGAGCCGCAAGCTAGGCCCGCCTTTCCTTCCCCACAGGGGTGGAGCCCAAGCGAGGAGGAATCAGCCTGCGAGCTCTCGCCCTGGTGGAACACTCGCAGGAGAAAATGGAGCCCAGCAAGATGGCGCCTCCCAAGAACGCTCCTAGAGATGCCCTGGTAAGCGCAGGGCACCGAGGCTGGGGCGCACTTAGAGGCGCCCCGTGTGGCAAGCCTGACTGAGTGCCTGGCGGGGAGGCAGGGGGTTCGCGTGCCACGTGCAGCTGGGCGACATAGCTGGAAAAGGGCAATAAGGATCCCCTGTGCCTGGGGCGCCATCCGCACTGCGGGAACCCCTCCAGAGGGGCGCGGGCTGCTTTGGGGCTTTTGTCTCCTTAGCACCGGGCCGCCCCCCAACCCACCCCTGCCCAAGTCTGCAGCCTCATCGGTTCGCCTAGTCTGTGAGTCTTGACTGCGACATGGGTTCCGATGCTAGCTTTTCCTCACTGTCAGATCTGAAAATGACAGCCAGCTGGACCCACCCCTACCTGCCTAGAAAGCCAGTTCAGGCCTTTCTTGTGTCTTTGCTCCCACCCTTGCTAAAATAAAAGTTATCACCAAAAGCATATGACGGATTTTGTGTGATCGCTGACACTCACTGGAGGAGGCACAAGGCTGAGTTTGGGACTTTGTAAAAAACAGGAATATGCCTCCAGTCCAGCTTTGATTTCTTTTATCTACATTGTGCATCTGGCTTTTTGTTTTTATTTGAATCCACAGGTGATGGCACAGATCCTGAAGGATATGGGGATCACTGAATATGAGCCAAGGGTCATAAATCAAATGTTGGAATTTGCTTTCCGTAAGTTAAAATTTTTTGATCTTGTTAATTAGAAAAGATGATTAATTGTAACACTTTAAAGCATATTCTGTTACCAGTCTAGAAATGAGTAAAGCTCTAAGAAGGAGCCCAAGTTAAGGGACAACAGTATTTACATATAGCATGCATGTTTAAGTAAAGTACCATGCAAATAGGACAATTATTAAAACCAAGACAGAAAGGTTCAAGAAATTAGTGGAACCTTTTAAAAGGAGCCATAAATATATAAATAGTATTTATATATGTGTATATTTATTATATGTATATATAGTATTTACATATACATATATGTAAGTATGTCTTCATGTAATAAGTTATTTTGCTCTTAAAGGATATGTGACTACAATTCTGGATGATGCAAAAATTTACTCAAGTCATGCTAAGAAACCTACTGTTGATGCAGATGATGTGAGACTGGCAATCCAGTGCCGGGCTGACCAGTCCTTTACCTCTCCTCCCCCACGAGATGTGAGCAAACATTTATTTGCAGTTATTTTTACTTGCACTTTAAAAATTATATTTCTAATGAGGATTTTTCTCTTTTAGTTTTTACTAGATATTGCAAGGCAGAAAAATCAAACGCCTTTGCCACTGATTAAGCCATATGCAGGACCTAGACTGCCACCTGATAGATACTGCCTAACAGCTCCAAACTACAGGCTGAAGTCCTTAATTAAAAAGGTAAGAATTTCTGGCTCATGCCTTAATCCTAGCAGTAGGGACGCTGAGGCAGGAAGATCAGGAGTTCAAGGCCATCCTTAGATCTTCAGGGCCGTCCTGAGCTACGTCAATCTCTTATCTCAAAAAAAGGGAAGTTTTTGTGTGTGTGGGGGGGGGTGTTTAGATTGGTTTGGCTTTTTGGTTTGGTTTGGTTTGGTTTGGTTTGGTTTGGTTTGGTTTTTCGAGACAGGGTTTCTCTGTAGCTTTGGAGCCTGTCCTGGAACTCACTCTGTAGACCAGGCTGGCCTTGAACTCACAGACCTGTCTCTTCCTCTTGAGTGCTGGAATTAAAGGAGTGAGCCACCACTACCCAGCTTAGTTTATAATTTTTAAAAGGTGGAAATAGCTAAACTAATAAAAAGCAAAGTTCTTATAGATAGCACAGTAAAGGTTAAAGTAATTCTTAGATTTTTTTTTAATTTTCATCTAACCCAGTGGGAATTTTTCTCATCATACAACTGAACCTGAACTCATGGAGTCAGTGGCAAAGCTAGGGCTGATTCCCACATCTAGTAGCTTCTTTGGTGTGTGAGATCCAATAATGAAGTAAATGATATGCCATCAGTAATTAGACCTTTTTCAGACATATCACCTAAGGTTGTCTCAGCACTGAAAAAGGACACCCCATATTAGGCTACCTTTGTTTTCTGGAATTCTGCTGTAAGACAGTTTTAATTTAGGCACAGTTAAAACACTGACTAGTTAAAATCCAATATTATAATACAATGAACTTAGTATTTGTCTCCATTCATGCAGAATTAGATAGGGTCACAATTATGTATGTATGCAAAAACTCCAAATATTGTATTTACAACAGAAGAGTTCAATCTTCAGTAGCATGACAAAAAGAAAAACACAATAAAAAGACATTTTTTTCATTTGATCATTCACTAATAGCTCAAATCAGCAGTTATAATTTCGCTTTTCATCAAGTTTAGGTGTCAAATGTTAACATTAAAACTTGTGTTTAAATCCCCCAGGGACCTAACCAAGGAAGACTAGTGCCTAGATTAAGTGTCAGTGGTGTTAATAGCAGACCTGCTACTCCTAATGTAGGTAAGTTAAAGAGGGAAATAGCCTTTCCGGACAGTAAGAACAATGTCTCAGCATGTGCCTTTGAACAATAACCAAGTCAAAATGGGAGTCAGAAACTCCAATGTGTTGCTATTAATAATTTTAATCATCAACAACAACAAAAAAAAAAACCCCACAAAGACTGATCCCAAACAAGATTGGCAAAGTTCTTGTTGGTATAAACTGTGATTCCAGAAACACTTTGTATCTCCACCTTCTGTGCTTCAAGTCACCAAATACACCCATGCCAGCAACCTACTTACTGAGAATGTAACGAAATGTTCTATAAACTGGCTACACGTTCAAGGAAGATTAAGACCTAAAGAAAGCTCAAGGATGTTAAAAATAGGTTTTAATACTTACCTTTTAAAACCAGTACAAGAACCAGCCTGGGTGACATAAAGGAGATCATGCTAATTATATGTCAGCAAGAGCCCTCAAGCTGTGGCCTATAATGTATGATAGCTCTCCATCATGCTACGTACATTTCTGACACACGATGTTCCAAGCCTATCTTATATTCGCCAAGCTTTAGAATCAACCACTTCTCCAACTAAACCTTAATTCATTTAGTGAATGGTATTTAGGAACTCTTATATGTAATGATTTAAAAAAAAAGTAACACAAGTTTTCTGATTTTTTCATATTTTTTGATTTTTTTTCATGTTTTGCAAAAAGAAAATCCTTTTTCCCTTGTATTAATTTCATGGTTCTTGCTGCTTTTAACTTGAGTCTTACCAGTGTCATTATGTCTAGTATAAAATTAATTTTTTTAAAACTGAGTCTTAATCTGTAACCCAGGATAGCCTTTTTTAAAAAAAAATTATTTATTTAGTATCTATACAACATTCTGCCTCCATGTATGCCCGCACGCCAGAGGAAGGCGCCAGATCTTATCTCATTACAGATGGTTGTGAGCCACCATGTGGTTGCTGGGAATTGAATGCTGACCAGCTGTGATTTGACCTTTGAGGTGTGAACCATCTCTCTATATTCTCAGGATATGAATTTGCACATCAGCATTTTAAAGCTGTTATTAATGAGGTATATATCTCTAATAACCTACATAAAACCTCCAGTGAACAAAATGTTACGTATAAAATCTGTGTAACTTTTCAGTCATATACTACTTACCTGTATTCAAATTAAGTGAATATCAAATTTTTGCTTTTTTGTTTTTGTGAAAATTACCTCACTGTACTGCCCAGGCTTATGTCGAACTCCTAAGCTCAAGTGTTCTGCCTGTCTCTGCTTCCTGACTAGCTGGCTATAGGTGTGTGCCACTGCCCAAGAAACAGCAGGGTGTAATGAGCAGGTACATGTGGCAGGCAAGTAAGCCAACTTCACTTACCAGTTGCTTTTTTACATTTCAAGTCATTTGTTAAGACATTCTTTAGAGTGTAACACCTAGAAATCTTAATCTATAATCTATTAAAGATGTAATCATTAAAATTAAGGAAACTTTTCTTTTTTAGCACATACTTCCTAAGGAAAAGGGGAAGAAACCCGAGAGGGATTACAAAGGAAGAATAGCCATTGTAAATCTTTTTAATTACTCTGCCTTCATTTATAATATTTTTGCACCTCCCATGAGCCCTCTAGACTTTGAAGGTGTATTTCTGTATGCTTTGGAGTAGAGAATATAAATATATAAGAAGTCATCTAACTGCTATGATCTGTTCATTGTAACTACAGCACCCCCAAAAGCAGGATCTGTCCCAAATAAAGGTCCAACTCCAGTGTCAGTGACAAGCCAAAGATTTGCAGTGCAGATTCCACCTTCTCAGTCTGCACCTGCCAAACCAGGTAACATGATATGGGTGTGGGGACAGAATTCATGAATAACTTTCAATTATACAACAGTTTGTTTTACTGCAGGAAGACTGGCTTTAGTATCACAACAGGTTGACAGGTAGAACTGCAAATCAGGGATCTTTGAATAAGATCTCTACTGTTAAGTTATACATAACATTTCAGGAGGAGGGTGGCATATTGAGTTGTTCTCCTCAAATTCTAAAATACTATAAACTAAAAGAAATTGGGGCTCACAGATCTAAGGTGTCTTCAGGGGAAAGCACTTCAAGTAAAAACCCAAGGAAATGACACCATTTAGTGAGGAGTGTGAATGATCCTGCTGTAAATTAGAATGGAGGTGTGCCTCACTCATTCTCTAGGTGGCAGCTATGAGGGAAAGGTTAATAGACTGCTAGCATAACAGTTTGCTTATGTGTATGTTCAAATTGCATCTTTTGAAACATTATCACCATACAAGAAACAACTTAAATAAAAGTTGGGCTAGCAAGATGGCCCTGTAGGTAAGGGCACTTGTCACCAAGTCTGGTGACCTGGGTTCAATCCCTTAAGACCCACATGGTGTAAAGAGAGAACCACCCCTAAAAGTTGTCCACTGATCTTCCCATGTCATGTGGTGCACACACCTAAACATAAGTAACTAAATGCAATTCTTTTGAAAACTGCCCTATGAAAGAAGCATGTCTCCTGGCCTCACACATGAATCCAGTACACTAAATACCAATTACAATTAAAAATAAAACAAATTTTGTTAACTTTGCAATAATTTTAGGGAGAATTATCTATACATAGATCAAAGTATACTTATGCCTGATAAAATCACTATTAGCAAATTTTTAAGATAAAAATGTTTAAAGATTGAATCCCACTCTTAGTAATTTCCGGTATCTCTATGATGTAGTTGTATGCTGTGCTAATGAACTTGTAAAAAAATTACATTCTAGTTTGCTGTCTATTTTTGTATCATGGGTAACTGACATCGATGGGGTTTTCTTCTATTTATAGCTCCTGCAACGACTACAGTCCAAAATGTTCTGATTAATCCTTCAATGATTGGGTCCAAAAATATTCTCATTACTACCAACATGGTTTCCTCACAGAACACAGCCAGTGACTCCAACCCGCTGAAGAGGAGGCACGATGACGACGATGACAATGACACTATGTAAGGAATGAAGTCTGTTCTACAGATAGTAAAGCCCACATGGTGGACTGAACAGCCTAGGTCTTAAGTTTTATCTTAGAAACGTAGTAGCAGTATTTTTCACATTAGCTACACATGATAAGTTTCATTGAGTTCAAATGTTTTCAGTATGCTTTAGATATACAAGTCCTTGTTTCTAGACAGCTTTAGTCTCACTATGGCAATTCTATTTTTAGAAGCAGTTCTGTGCCACGGCTGATAGCAGCACTTCGATTCCAGTTCCTGGTCTCATTTACATTTAAGCATGACTACATTGTCACCTTTGTGACCAAATCTCTCAATCTAGTAACCTTTTTTGAAACAGTGGATTTAGAAGGGTCCTAAATCTATTTTGAATGTATTTGGGTTTGGTCTTTTCTAGTCCCCACCTCAGCTACCTATCTAGATGCCATTTCGTTTCTGTTCCCACCTCTCATCGCCTTACGTCACTTGCCATTGCACTTAAATTTAAGACTGTAACTGGAATTTGTAAAGCACCTGGAATTTTTTAGTTCACTTGAACCTGGGTGTCTGCATTTGCTTTTTCACTCCATAACAGCGCAGGGAGGTCTCGGCCCTTACCTGCCATGCCTGCTAGGCTTTACTCTCTGACATCAGTTACATTCAGTTGCATTCCAAGTTGACAGCCTCATCATCTTTCATGCTTAAATAATTTTTTTAACAGATATAATGTAAAAGCTGCCTTAGTAATTTACACTGGACCTAGATAAAAACCACTGAAATCTAGTGCTTTTGTTGTTTCCTTATTCTTCCACCTGCATATATGCTTTGATCACTACTGATTGAACCGGTCTACTTGGTTTCATTAAGATCATCTTGCTGCTGAGAACGTCACACGTAAGATAAGATCAAGCCTGAAAGTAGAGTCTAATGATTCTCCTTCCCCATAAGGCCAACAGGGAAAAAAGATTAGTGTCACCTGACTCCATTTACACATGACCTACAGAAATTTCCCAACCATGTGTTTCTAAACACTTTCTATTTTGTTTTTATACATACCTACAAGACACACTGGGGAAGACTGCAAAGCTTTTTTTGAGTATAAAAAAGCATTGTTTGATTTGGTGGCATTTAAGTTCTATTTAGCCAATACTGGAAAAATGTAAGCAGAAGTTCCCAAAACCTCCACATTATTAAATTTTATAGCCATGGGTCGTCAAACTTACTAAGTATTGGCACAGGATGGTGTTTGACACAAGAATAGTATAGTAACTCGTCCCGGTTTGTATGTTTAGGAATGTTACGGAAGGTTGATCTGATCAGTATCACAAGAGAAATGTGCATTCTACAGCACTCACGTCACTACTTGAATGTTCTCAGGGAGGCAGAATATTCGGCGGCCTGGCTTCTAGTACTAGTTTCATTACCAACAACGTGACCTTACTTTACCTCTGAGCCTTGTTCACTAGTAATGGGAAATACCACCTACCCTGCCTACCTCACAGGGATGTTGTGAGGATTTAGCTGGTGTGTGTGAGAGAAAGTTCTCAAGATTGTAAAATCTATAAGTAATTATTAATGTATTTGTTGCAAGATTATTAATAAAAATTTAACTTTACCAGTGACCTTTTATTTTTGACTGACGGGATTCGAGGAGGTAAATAAGGCAACAGTAGAGCAATTCAGATTATCAGGGGACAGCTTGCTTTTGCTGGGAATTGGTATATGATTCATAGTAAAAAAAAAGCAAGAAAATCAAATATGGGTTTAAAATCTTACAAACTGAAGATGCTCTGTATGATGGGAATGTGTATAGAGATCTCTGTACTGAACTGATGAGTGCTTCTGGGGAGGCAGTAGACAGGTTGGCAAAAACTTGACTATACCCAAAAAAAACCCGAAAATTTGAGTTCCTCATTTATAGTATGGGGATTCTGTGGGCATATTAGGGGGTTGAATGTGATTTTACTATTTAAAATCTATGCCTTTCAAGATTTATCAAGGTACACTATTCTAATTTACATGTACAGGAACAGTTCGATCTGGGTATCTTATTTGCTCAGGTTTTAAATTCCTTCAGGGCAAAAATCCTATCTTCTACTCCCTCCACTGTGTCCTAAGTACATAGTTGTACTGAAATATTTGGTTATTTGCCAAGCTTCCTTTTCTGTTAAACTTATTTTTTCTACTTAGTCTCTGTATTAAACATCTAACTAGGGGGCTGGAGAGATGGCTCAGGAGTTAAGAGGCACTGGGCTGCTTTTCTAGGACTCTGGTTGGATTCCCAAGACCTACGTGGCAGCTCACAACCATCAGTAACTCCAACAATCTCTTCTGGCCTCCACAGACACTGCACACAGGTGGACAGATGTACATGTATGCAAAAGATCCATACACATAATAATAAAAAACTGAAGAAATTTTGTAAATAGAAAATCCTAGAAATATAATCTCATTGAATACTTAAAAGATACAATAAAAAACTGATAGATGATGCTGTCAATTAGTACTAAATGCATGGATATCTATTTACAGGGTGTTTTTTTGTCTTTTTGTTGTTTTTCTGTATTTTTGGAGCCTGTCCTGGAACTAGCTCTTACAGACCAGGCTGGCCTCGAACTCCACACCTGCCTCTGCATCCCAGGTTCTGGGATTAAAGGCGTGTGCCACCATCACCCGGCCTATTTACAGTTCTTTCAGCATCTCTGAGCACTTGAACTAAGTATTGAAAGATTGTGGGTGGGGGGAGACAAGGGGGATCAGCACTCAGGTAAACCTCTAGCCCAACAGTAACATTCACTTACAACATCTGAGCTTCATCTGCAAAATTCCCGCTGCTCAAACCAAGGTCTATCAGATACTGTACCGAAAAACGGTACAATGTACAATTAACTACAAATATGGAGAAGCATATAAACTAGAATGCAAAAGAATTAAGAATAACTGGAGTTTTCACAATTTCTGCTTAAGCAACTGCCAAAATAGATTTGACAGTGACAATGAAACAATGCCTTCAACTCTGATAAACTGATACTCAGATTCTTAACTATGTCTACATAACCAAGGGTAATTAGATAAACACGAGTATCTGTATTAAACAAACTTTGTAAATTTTTTGATATTTAAGAGATGATCTAATGTTAGGAACTTCAAATAATAGATGACTTAAAGCAGGAGAGATTACTCACAGATTTTAGGGAAATACATTTTATAGAAAACAATGAGCATCAGCAGATTTTGGTATCTGAGATACAGTTCCCCATAGATACAAAGGGTTTATAAAAGCATGGCCAAATTAGTAATCAGGTTTAAGAGCTGAACAGCTAATTTCAAACCAAGTCTCAGAACTTCCTCCTTGGCAGTCTTTCTCAGGAAATTACTAAATCCAGATTTGCATAAAAAGTAAATCAGCCAGGCATGGTGATGCATTCCTGCCATTAGTACTACTGGGGTGGAGGGGCCAAAGGCAGAGATCACTGGAAGTTGAAGGGCAGCCTGAGTTAGCTAACAAATTCCAGGTCAGTGAGGGCTGTCAAAAAGAAACACAATTAACTATCCAAAAAGAAACTTAAACTGAGAAATAGAAGGGGAAACACGGTTTCAAAGGTAAAAAGAACCCCTAGAGGGATACAGGAAAGCCCTGAGCAATATGGCTACAATAAACCTAGGGTAGCCAGGAAAACTGGAACAGAGGCACCAAGGATTCCAGATTTCAAAACTTAAAAAAGCTATCTCATGTGTTTCCATATACTTCATGTTCATACTTTTAGTGTATGTTGGAATGAAGTAGTGGAAAAAAATGAGAAAATTATTTTTGTTTTGAGATAGGGTCTCACTTTGTATCCTTGGTTGATGTGGAACTCCCTATGTGCTAGGATCAAAGACTTGTTGTGTATCATGCCCAGCAAGGAAAAAAAAAACATGGCTGAAGAGATAGCTCCGCACTTCAGAGCACTGGTTACTCTCTTCCAGGGGTCCTGTGTTCAATTCCCAGCATTTACATGGTGGCTCATGACCACTCATGAGAGCTGATGCCCTCTTTAGGCCTGCAGGGATATACGTAGGCATAACATTACATACATGATATATTATTTTAAAAATGGCAAAAATATAGCATAGTACATACATATATAACACTTATAATCATAGTGTAAACCTTCAAGCTAGAGATAGGATCGAGACTGGCCTCTAACTCACTACATACCCAAGGATGATCTTGAACTGTCCTTCTGTCTTCACTACCCATGTGAAGGAATTATAAGCAAACACCATGCTCAGACCCTTCATAATGTAAATTTCTGATCTAATTTATAGCAATGGCAAAACAATACTGAGAATGAAGTATATGTGGAATACAGGCTGTTGATTTCATTCTTCAAAGTATGAAATTAATAGGCATGTTTGAAAATCTCAGTACTTAGAACCATGAAATGGGAATCAAGAAAAGCAATGGTCACACTAGGCAATGTGAATCAAGAATGGGAGTAATGAGGTGAGGCTTGTTTGGGTTGATTTTGTTTAGATCCAGTTGTGAAACATCTATAGACTTTCACTAAGTAATAGGCATCTGTCTAATCCCACCTCCCCACTACTACAGCCAATCCTTCCATTCAAAATGTAGATAGATACTTGATTCCATACGAAGGTTCTATTTTCACCCTTCCTAACAAAATGACAGGAAAACTCCAGTTTCGGCGGACATCTTTATTAATAGATCATCAACTTCTCCAAATCTACAGCTGGAATTTCATCTTATTTCCATGCTGAGTCATGAACAGTGACAAAGCCAACCAGAGGTACTCAAAGAGGACTAAGCTTTCATAGCTCACTTTCTTCTACAGGCAGAATATAAATAGATGCACTCTAGAATGCACAATGGCTTTAGTCACTATGGAATTAAAATGGGATCTTGAAGAATGTAGACAAATCCCGATGAAGGAAGGACGAGCTGAGATGCTGTGCAACTGTTTAAGGGTTCCTGGTGCTGCATCTCGGTCACTAGCTGAATCTTGCACTAACACCAAATGGAGATGCGGAAAACACACTAAGTTGACTTAGGGGTTGTGCACAGGAACCAAAAGGCAGGAAAATACTAAACATTGCTGAGAGCATCCACCCCAGGAAGGACTTTACCTGTTTTTGAGAGAGCACATACACAGACAGCATTACTTTAAGACCCACTAAGCTACAGCTGCCCTATTTTTCTTACTGATAAAATAGGGGAGGAGTTCAAGCACTCCTGCATTCTTTCTTGGTCCCAGGTCAATTAAAATGTCTTCCTACCTATGCCTCCCGCCAAGTGGATTGCAGGTGCTTTGCTTGTGCTATCTAGCTAGTATGATTGCTACTGTTCCCCACCCTGCCTTCAAATAAACCAAAACAGAGAATAACCTCACCTTCCAGCAGCTCTAGACTGGCACCACCCCCAGTGCTCACATGGCTGACTTTATCCTCTGTGTTCCATTTGGCACAGCAAGTGGCAGTGTCTCCACCGCCTGTTGAATGAAGACCAGAGAAAAGTGTTTTGGCATCGGAACTGTAAAGGTTCAACCCAAAAGGTTGCTAGCTAATGAACGCCCCACTGCATCTCAAGAGGACTCCCTAAGAATGACGCCTCCATCAACTATCAGAGATTTAGAAAATATTAAGCACATTCCCCCTCTGCCTCCCCTGCATAGAGCTCTGCCACTGTTGCATTAGTGTGAGATTAGCACAGGACCCCTTACCTACGATAGTGATGCAACCCCTAGCAGTGGCTTTTACCACCTCATCCATGAGGGACTTGGTTCCCCTGGCAAAAGCTTCCCATTCAAAGACCCCAACAGGTCCATTCCAAACAATCTGCTTGGCTCGAGCCACAGCCTCAGCATATTTCTTGCTGCTCTCAGGACCACAGTCCAGGCCCTGGATAGTAGAATCAAGAGGATGAACCATTAAGAAAACTTACTAGGACCATATCACCTCCACCAAAACCATAATGTAAGGCTGAGCAAACATCCAGAGTTTCTACTAGAATCAAAA